TTACCCCCCCCCCTCTCCCCGCTCCCCTACCTCTCCGAGGATCATTCCGCTAATGTAAAAAGAAAGCTCTTTATTCACTGATCGATACAAGGAAAGAAAGGAAAAGAATAGGTGACATTTTACTAGATGTTACAGAAACAAACATTACAACATTTGCCCTCAATGTTTTCAATTATGTTTTAAAAATCTGGGGGAATAAATACCACCGGATTCACGGAAGTATTGGATTTCCTGACAGGAAAGCCAAGGCACATTGTGAATTGAATGATTACTCGGCGGATATCATAATTTGGGCTCAATTATGAGGGACATGTTCTGGGTGTATCCCCGCATCTTGAGGGCATCCACGTGAGGACATCCTGATTTGGAGCGATTTCAGAAGACTTAGTTCGGCTATATTTGAGCAGTTCTGTGTATTAACCTCTGGTGTGCTTTTGATCCCTATCTGTTTTGAACAGCCTCACATACAAACTTCAGTTACCGGGGTCTGTGGTTAGAGGTTAGGCGCCTAGCCGTCCCAAGCAGAAGCCCCGAGTTCAGTTCCAGTATGGGGAGAATATGTCACGAGCATCTCTGTCTTTCTGCTTAGGCGTTGTATCCCTCTCCGCCCGGGTTGGCCTTCACAAGCAGGGCTGAGACCTATCTCCTAAATGATTTAAATTGTGTCTTTGGGGACGTAAAACACTTTATGTTTAATAAAAATCAGTTGTATTGCCTTATTTTAGATGCTTTCTGTAGGTGGAAACACACTTGACATAACAGACATATTGATCTTATAGGTATGTCCCACGTAAAATTACTTGTGCCACAAAGTCACTGAAAAGGCTTAACATCCATTCTCCATACTGAACTATTATTCAAGTGACGGGTTTTCATTGGTTAACGTCCTTCTCCGATAGGACCGAGCCAAATGGGCGGAGAGTCTTCAAAGACTTTCCCAAACAACTCACATTCAGAACGATATCTAGGGGATTTGAACAAAAGCTACCGACTCAGTAGTCCAGCGTGATACCAGCGGAGAAAACAGTACGCCAGCAGAAAAAAATAGTAGGAGACTTAAAATGAAAGTCACCAGTTTTGCATAAATGGTATTGTTTTATTATCTAAAAGGTCAATTCAGCCTGTACTCGAAGTTGACTTTTAGGATTCTTATTACTTTTGTATGTACTCTGATTTGTTTCCTTCTGTCTGCCGTAGTCTTTGTTCTTACCTTTTCGAAATTCCTCTTTGACCCGCTACCCTTTTTACACTCCTCACTCCACCCCCCCCCCCCAAAAAATAAAAAAACTAACTGAAAAGAGGATACAATAACGGTGCTCTACAGTACTGTACGATACGAAATAATAATATGTCATTACAATCATTTTACGAAGGCAATCATGGTGTAGGTTTTGGGTACCTCGCTGGTGAGTTTGATTTCCGTTCGTAGAGGGAATATTGTTATCGGGCGTCAACGTTTTTCTTCGGGGACGTTGGATCCCTGTCACACTGTGTTGGCCCTGACCAGTAAGATCGAAGCAGCCCGCTTCCTAAAGGATCTAAATGTGAGGAAGCGTGGTGGAATCATGGCTATCGTCATTTTTGGACAGGTAGAGTTAGTGGTAGCATCTTAAAGCTTGTTCACTGATATCTATTTGGAAGAAAAAATATCCATTTATCTTAAATACAAGTCGAGATATTTGCAAAAGAAGAAAGTAGGGGTCACCTGTTTTCAGAAGTAAAATTAGTGAAAAAATTACCGTCGAAGATTAGCTATTTCTTTATCTTCAGAGTCCGGGGTAACTGAAAATTTACATTTTTGTGCCTTTAATCGACATTTATCAGAAAAATCCACTCAGAAATGAGTTCTTTAATGGGCATGAAAGGTGTTGAGCCAAAAAAAAACCCCAACAAAAATTTGATAAAAATTAACGAATAAGTGGAAAAATACAAGTTTCTTCATTTTGATTATTTTGACGAGAGCCTGATTCCACCACGCTGCCTCATATATGTCATTACAATCCTTTTCCGCAGGAATAATGGTGTAGGGTTTGGGTATCTCACTGGTGAGTGCGTTTCCCATTCGTAGAGGGAATATTAATATCGGGCGTCAATGTTTTTCTTTGGGGACGTTGAACCCCTGCCACACTGTGTTAATAATAATAGATAGCATTTGTATAGCGCAAATCCCCGCTCAACAGCTCTATGGGCTTCACAATCTATACTATGTTAGCCCTGACGAGCATGGTCGAAGCAGCCCGTTTCCTTAAGGATATAAATGGTCGCTTTTAAGCACAAGGGAGCTATCCCGAAAAATGCTGTTTTGAGAAAATCGAAGGTAAAGTTTTTCCCTTTGTTCAGTTTCTTTAAAAGATAATGAGAGTTTTCTCTATAACCAAATACATATACACCCGATGAAATCAAACTTCTACTATAGGTAGGGAAATGCCTACTTTTGGTGATGGGCAAGATTTCCGGAAACCCCCAAGATCTGGGGTAGCCCGCCTGTCCTTAAAAGCGACCAAATAGGGTCGACAGGGCGTGCGAGAAGTAAAACGTCCGTAGTTACTACAACTACAGCCGTTTACCAAAACTCTACGAGGATTAAAAAAGAATAAACCGATTTTATGACGCATTGTTTCAGATATCAAATATCATTATGGAATAAATCAGTTTGAATTAGTCTCAGCAGCCCTCTTCCTAACTGATCTAATCAGTGTCACCGGGGCGTATTTGGAGTAACATGGTCTATATTACTACCGCTCTACAGCCGTTTGTCAAAGCTCCAGGATTATCAGGTGTGCAGGAAATGCGGTTCGTTTAATATGAAGGGTTTCGATAATCGTGTCGTCGCGTTCCCCACCTCAGGGCAATCCGCCAGCAAAGAATGCTCTTTAAAGTACATGTAGTTGTATACCAAACCATTGCTTATGTCTTTAAACATCTTAACTGTTTCTGGAAAATTGTAATTGCAAATAAGTATACTAATATCCTATTTTGA